TTTTTTTTTTTTTTTTTTTTTTTTTTTTTAATAAAAGAGGAAAATTATACGCGTATTCGACTCATTATCGTAAATACCTACGCAATAGACGCAAATATTGCAGAAAATTACTCAAAACAGAATGATCACACGGTTTTCACCTTAAGGTGATTCGATGGACGCCATATTTTGTGTCAGAACTGCATGCGATATATCGCATCAATTGGTTCCATTTTTTCAGCAACTCGTCATTTTTCTCCAATTTTGAGATCGCAATTCTGTTGTCAGGAGACTAAAGCACTCACCAATTTTAACAAAGAAATTCAACTTTATAAAGCCGTGGTTTTTTAGAGAGAAAACATCGCATTCGATACTGATATCGAAACTGCACTCGAATGCGATATTTCCTCTCTAAAAAAAACCACGCCTTTATTACGTTGCATTTCTTTGTTAAAATTGGTTACTGAGTGCCTTAGTCTCCTGACAACAAAATTGCGATCTCAAAATTGGAGAAAAATGACGAGTAGCTGAAGAAATGGAACCAATTGATGCGATATATCGCATGCCGTTCTGACACAAAATATGGCGTCCATCGAATCACCTTAATATCGCGAAAAATTCGCGATTTTTAGGGACAACAGTGACTTGATTCAGGCCAAAACCTACGATTTTCCTTCGATTTTGATATTTTATTTTTCTAAATGCGAACAAACATACGTATTTATAAAAAGAAACTATATCCATTCTGACTTGAGCCCTGAGTGCTACATGAATACATGCATGATAGGGCTCTTGTCACGATGGATTTAGTTCCCTTCAGTGGCGTGGCGTGAATTGCGATATATCGATTGTTATGCCATTTAAACCTATGGTAAAGAATCGATAATTAAGGTGTTCGCTGCGAACACCCTCTTTATCGATCCTTCTCCATAAGTTTAAAAGGCATAACAATCGATACATCGCAATTCACGCCACGCCACTGGTTCCCTTCTGTTTTAAATACGACCAAATCAACATCGGAACTCAACGATTACACTGAGTTTTCTTTGCACGGATGAACTTCGATCAAGGAAGCCTTTTAGAATTGCCCTTAAGTAGTTTTCCATTTAAAAAATGAAGAAGGGAGGACCAGAATGGTGCAACGTCGCAAACTGAGATGTGTGGTCTTTTACTTTTGCCGTCGTACTGAGCTTCACTTCCAGATTTTTAAGAGTGCACAGGCAAGGCTTGTTGATTCGTGCCAAATATGATTGAATCGCAACAGTTTTAATGAAATATTTAGGTTTTTAGAAACACTGATAACAAATAAAACCCAAGAATGTTACGATTCAGAGTGTATTTTTGAGGGGAAAAATTAAGAGAACATTAAAATATAAAGTTGAAAAGACATTTCAAAATATTGTACAAGGTCATTTTTGAAAAAATATTGAAATATATAGCAGCAAAAAATATATTTTAAAGGTGCTAAATCTGAAAGTTACCTGATAATTAACACCTCTCCGATAATGTTGGTTTATCAGACTGTCTTAAATTATTATCTACTGCGTGATAAATAATATTATTCCTAAAAATTCAAATCCAAAATTCATCCTTAAGTAAGAGTAAATTAAAATATTCAAGTACATACAATCAGGATACAAACTTTGCAGTTAATTTTGTCTGAGTAAGTTCAAATCAATGAAATTATACGCTATTTAATTAAATCATCAAGTACGATTGGGAGTAATGAGCATGCATTCACTACGAGCAATGCTAGTTTATGTCATTCGCATAGACTCTTGAGCTTTCCTGGATAGTACCTTGAGTACCTGAATTTTACATCTATTTCCTTAGATAAACACGAAGAAGTGCATGATAGCTTTAATACTTGGTTTGCAACAAAAACTTCGTGGCAAAACTAAATCAGACTTATGGTTACAAAAAATGTATATTTTGATGAACGAATTAACGAATGGACTCTCAAACTTGAATATTTACAGAGAAAATGAATGTTCGAGAAACTTACTGTTTGCTGGTACCAAGAGAGAAGTGCACGGGTGAAGAATAATTTCTTTCGTTGATCCTCTGACGTAAGGGCGTACGCGGGTTTCCGTATGAGCCCCAGGAAGCATGGATTTATAGGCGAGAAGAGGGCTCGCGTGGAAATTGGGAGACACCCTTACATCCTAGGGGCAACGATATGTGCCCGTCGGAAAACCAAGTAGACATACCTAGATTTCTGGCGATGTTCACTGCGCCTCGAATGTTGCATCGCTATTAAATAACCTTGATTGATCAATTCCTATCTTACAATGGACTACTGGACAAGGTACGAATTTCAGCATTCTGATACATGTTTCTTCACCAAAATTTCACGTAAAACACGATGCGCACAACGAATATTACCGAAATCAACTCCTTCCGAAGATATAAATGATTCTTGGTGCGTGAATTCAAACCACCCGCTCATGAAAACTCAATGATCTGCGTGATTCACATCGTGCGCTAAACGTTATCATGAACGTCTCTGCGATAAAAAAAAATCTGGCAACCTCAATCTTGACACTTGGCTCAGCATAGCGAATTACTTATAGTTTGAAAAATACATGGTGGGAAATGAACATTGCTCGATTGAGAAGCTTGCTGAACCCGTTGTAGTACGCGATTCGACTCACGTAGAGCTTTGAGTTTCTTGTGAGTGGGCAGTTCAAATTCCTCGTAACCAATGTGAAATAAAAATGTTAATATCTCCGTTAGGAGTTGGTTTCAGTAATTTCCGTTGTGCGCATCGTGTTTTACGTGAAATTCTAGTTAAGATACATGTATCCGTACCTTGTCTAGTGGTCCATTAGTAACGGCATTAATCGATTCAGGTTTTTCGATAACCATTCAAAAAATCATTTCGCAGCGGCTCGATGGTTGAATCGATATCGAAGAACCTTAATCGATAAGTATCATCGATAAGATAGGGATTTATCGATTACGATTAATCGATAACTATTCAACAATCGACCCGCTGGACGTCTAATATCGGCTACTTTATATGTTCCGTGGCTTGTTATCTATGTAGGTCCTTAAATTCTTACTAGAATTACTGGAGTCTGTAAACTCATCACAGTAAGTGCACGAGAATGGCTGGTCCGCCGCGTGCGTCCTTCCAAGCATATTTAATTGATCTAATTTGTTGTACTTCTCATCAAAAGTGCAAGAGAATGGATTGTCACCTAGCTGTACTGGGTCCTCAAACGCCTACTGAAATTACTGGAATTGGTCGAAAGTTTTTATTAAAATAAGTTTAAGAGAATGACTTGCCAACCGTGTGCGTCCTTAAGTGCCTACTTAAATTACAGGATTTGGTGAATTTCTTATCACAATAAGTGCACGAAACTGGTCAGTCGTTGGAGTGCGTCCTTAAATGCGTATCTAAATGACCAGATCGGGTGAATTTCTTATCACAATAAGTACAAGAGAACGGCTTTTCGCCCGTGTGCGTCTTTAGATGCCTACTTAAATCACCGGATTGGGTGAATTTCTTGTCACAATAAGTGCACGAGAATGGTTTGTCGCCCGTGTGCGTCCTTAGATGCCTATTTAAAGTACCGGATTGGGTGAATTTCTTATCACAATAAGTGCACGAGAATGGCTTTTCGCCCGTGTGCGTCCTCAGATGCCTACTTAAATCACCGGATCGGGTGAATTTCTTGTCACAATAAGTACACGAGAATGGTTTGTCGCCCGCGTGCGTCCTTAGATGCTTACTTAAATCACCGGATTTGGTGAATTTCTTGTCACAATAAGTACACGAGAATGGTTTGCCGCCCGTGTGCGTCCTTAGATGCCTATTTAAAGTACCGGATTGGGTGAATTTCTTATTACAATAAGTGCACGAGAACGGCTTGTCGCCCGTGTGCGTCCTTAAATGCCTATTTAAATGACCGGATTGGGTGAATTTCTCATCACAATGAGTGCACGAGAATGGCTGGTCGCCTGTGTGCGTCCTTAGATGCCTATTTAAATGACCGGATTGGGTGAATTTCTTATCACAATAAAAACAAGAGAATGGTTTGTCGCCCGTGTGCGTCCTTATATGCTCATTCAAAAGATTGGATCGGGTGAATTTCTTATCACAATAAGTACAAGAGAACGGCTTTTCGCCCGTGTGCGTCCTTAAGTGCGTATCTAAATGACCAGATGCGGTGAATTTTTTATCACAATAAGTGCACGAGAACGGCTTTTCACCCGTGTGCATCCTCAGATGCTTATTTAAATCACTGGATTGGGTGAATTTCTTACCACAATAAAAACAAGAGAACGGCTTTTCGCCCGTGTGCGTCCTTAAATGCTTATTTAAATGACCAGATTCGGTGAATTTCTTATCACAATAAGTACAAGAGAATGGCCTGTCGCCTGTGTGCGTCCTTAAATGCCTATCTAAATGACCAGATGCGGTGAATTTTTTATCACAATAAGTGCACGAGAATGGCTTTTCGCCCGTGTGCGTCCTTAGATGATTATTTAGAATACTGGATTCGGTGAATTTCTTATCACAATAAGTACAAGAGAATGGTTTGTCGCCCGTATGCGTCCTTAAATGCCTATCCAAATGACTGGATTGGGTGAATGTCTTATCACAATAAGTGCAAGAGAACGGTCTATTCTTGTCACTTATTTTCTTCATGGGGAGTAGGACACTCTCCTCATCCTTGAACACGCAGTTGTCGCATTTCTTGCTCGTCTTCTGAGCTGTGCCGGAAGGTAAGACTCTCGAATTGCAGACAACGCACACGCCGAACGAACATAGATTCTGGGTTGGTGACTGAGGTAGTTTTTTCTGCTGTAGCTTTTCTTTTTCCTCCTCTGATAGATATCGCATCCGGCAGACTCTACTGTGGTTATTTAGAGGCAGCAGGGAAGAATATCCCAAAGCGCAGTGTGGGCATAGGAAAACCGACTCTGAATGGAGAAAACATAAATAATATTCTATAATTCTCAAAAATTTGAGTTCGTTTTTAGAATTTCCATATTTCTGATTACAACAATTTCAATATCTTTGCTGGAATCAAAATTAGAAAACACCAGAGTTTGCTTTTACCTTCGCTTTCGCTCTAGCCTGTGTAAAGATAAAATTCGGACCGTGGAGTCATAATTACTGGAATAGTACCGTATGCTACGACCCAAAATAAAATCGAAAAGGATTTTTGGTTTAAAAAATAAATTGAAACTTTGAGAGACACAACTAAAGAGTATAGCCAGTAGCATACAGCACGATTTAGGAGGAGGGAACACCTCTGATTTTGTCTGAAACGGCGGATATCCAAAACTCAAGATGATGGACATTTTTAGAGTCGTTATTTCTGACATGCCTTACCCTGGAACGAAATTGACCAATTTTATTGTATATTTCTACTTTGATGGCTCATAAAAATTCTATACGTATGATAGCTTTCAAACGATACGTGGACTTGCCTCAAGTCTTTAAATACGTGAATAATTTTGTTTTCACGATTACATTCGTTATGATGGAATCGATAAAATTTGCCAGAAAAAAATATTCGATTTCAGATTTCTACAATTTGACAGATCGCAGATCGCTAGAATTATTGGTAAGTTTCACGACTACAACATTGCTTACAGAACGTTGTCCTGTAAAAATCGACATTTCTCTCATTTTTAAGATACTATATTTTGAAAATCCCTTTTTCAGAATCCGAAATCGTCGGAAGTAACAGTTATTCAACGTCTGTATTTAATCATCAAGCAGGATTAGCGATTGGGATGAGCTGGAAATGAGTATTTCTAATCTTGCTGATAATTTGGCCTGCTATATCAAACGTGGGAGTTCGTGAAATATATCATTTTAGTGAGCTGAAACTGACCAGTCTGTAGCGGACATGGAAAAAAATTAGATTGTTCGTAATTTCACTCGGAGTGTATGTTAAAACTTACGTGGTAGATCCTTATATTCTTGGAAATTTTTGATTCCTAGCTGCTCTTCAGCGAATTTACTTCCATAGTAGACGAATAATTCTCTGTTAGAGGGTATGTCATCAAATGCTCGGTAGTAAATTTTGCCTTTGTACTGGTGTGCAACAAGATTCTGTTCGTAGGTGCTCCTGGCACAGTTGACAAATCGCATCCAGTTACTGGTCGCTATATCTTGTGCATCCACAAAGCTGATTGGCTTCCTTTCCTTTTTTATCTACAAAAGAAGACAACTAATAAAAATCATAAGCGAAATTTCCTTATTTTAGAGAAATCATATGGTTCAACTTTGTGTTCTCAACACTTAAAGAAGTGAGCATGCCACATCAAAGACTCATGATCTTCTTAAAGGAAGGTTTTGCAAACGACATGATTAAAAGCCACGCGAGCTTACGATAAAATGCTTCAGAGTAGAAAATCCGTCTGAAACTCTTGCGAATGAAGCGTGAAAAAAAAATGTTACTATACATTTTGTGTCATGGGATTGGATTCAATCGCATCAAAATATGAGAGGAAAGACTAGTGAAGAAAATTTTCGGAATCAGAACGATCGCGCATTTAGAGAGATCGTTTAGCATTCAACAAAATCTTGAACAGAATAATTACCATCACAACACGGCAAAATCGTAAAAAGAATATTTTCAATACGATTGGAATTGATTTCTATAAAACTGTCATAAAATATTTGGAAACTCCTTGAATTTTGTTTCCCAGGATGAAGACTCCTAGGATTCTCATCCCGCTTTTAGACTTCAATTTTGAATGAGAAACTACTCTTTCTACCTTATCCACTAAAGCACCCGTGTGAAAATGAGCGAAACATCATAGAGAAAAAACAGGAGGTGTTCGCATTTCGGGCATCTTGGATTTGTTTGATGACGTAGGTATCGATATAGCGACGTTTATCATCGATTTTCTTGGAAATGGTGTAATTTATGGAAAAAAGTCATTCTATAAAAAGTGCTTGAAATTACATCATGAGTTGATTTGAGCAAAAAAATGGGACATTATGGTCCGTTTTTCATACTTCGAATTCTGGATTTCGCTGGCCAGGTTGTGACGACCTACGTCACAGGGTAAACAAACCTCAAGATGCAAACACCTCATTTTTTTTTCTCTATGGCCAAACATAGGTTTTCCTTATTGCAAAATGCAGTACAGATGAAATGTAGGTACTGAAAAAAAAATTCAATTATGAGCCAGCGCGTGCTTAGTTCCTCTCTTCTTAGCCCATGATCTCCAAAATATTGGTTGACGTTCATAAGCCTTCATTTTCCCTTTATCTGGCAAATTTTTAGCGCGCTTTGATATCGGCAGATTATTAGTCAGCGTGTATTTTTGGCTGATTCGTGAAATAAAGGAAACTAAATCTCAGGATCCGGGGTAAGTTGGAAAGGATTTTTTTGTTTGCATCCTCGTATAATTTATGTAAACAACTCAGCAATTCCGGCTGATCTGAAAAAATGACGATCTCACGAAATTTCATGGAACATAATCATCCTATCAGTGATTCTTACCTCCCAACTATAATTGGTTAAAATATTGTCAGATTTCCTCTTATAAACACCTTCGTAAGGGCCAAACAGGGTATCCTTCTTGATGGTCTTAATAGTCCAGACACCGTCTCCTGCTCCTGGAATTGACGAGACGCCGACCATCAAACCCTCCGGCACAGTTTTTAGAGCGCGTAGCTTATCATCCTTGTCGATCGGAACCTGTAAAAATTAGAGTATAACGAGAAATAGATATTATTAGCTTATTGAATAGGGTGATATAATGATGGATTTACATCGGAGACTGATTGTCAGACAAAGATGTGAGAGAGATTTTAACATGTCTCTGATACAATGTTAGTTCATTATATACAATCAAACACGCGGGGAGAAAAGTGCCGGGGGGGGGGGGGGTGCGAAATAATGTAATAAAATAGATTTACACGCCAAAAAAGTGTTGACGGACTGAAAAAAATTACCCTTGTAAATGTCAATTATTGATCTGATATTAATAAATGTTCTATAAAAGTTGGAGGTGCGGCAAGTGCAAAATTCTAGCAACAGTCCAATGCTCACAGTTTTTGGTGACAAAATGTAGCTCAACAGTCGCAGAGAATTTCCGATTTCATTACCCTTGCTTCCTACTCACTGCCCTTGTTGTCGATGGCTAAATACAAGAAATGCCACAAAATTGTGAAGCCGCAAATGTTCGCTCATGTCTAATATGTTCCAAATATTATCAACTAACAGTTTCTCTTTTACTCGTGATTATACATGAAGTTTAATTTTAAGTCATTTAAAAATATTCACAAACAATTTCATGGAGGTACTAGGAGGGACCCGAAAGTATCGAAGATCATGCCGGCATATTTCAGAATTTTGAAGATTTTGGAACTATGTAACGAGGATGACCATATTCCACCCTGAGTCATCGGTACCATTCTCACTGACCATTTTGGTCTTGTTCAAAAAACTTATTTTATTTGATGATTTGCATTTTCCAAGTTACTTCAATATACGTAATTATGAAGGGCCAAACATTACGCAATTTTTAGGGGCAGGGGAATCCATTTTGCGTTCCAGGCGAGTGAAGGGGAGAGGAGGACCTGACAACATATGTTTTATTCATCAACGGATTTACATTTTACAGCAAAAAGTTAAAAAAAATTGGTAAAATCACACAAAAAATACTCATTAAAGATTTTTAAAGAAAATTTGCAACTGTCTTTCATAAAATGAATGGATTATCGAAGAAACTTTGCCATACGATGAAGTTGCACTGTTTGTCCCCCTTAAGTTTTGCCATCATTTTCTCTCTCCGTGCCTTTTGTATTACAGCTGCACTGACATTGATACACATTTTTTCGGGGATTTCTATTAATATTATGTTCAATAATCCCTAGAAGTCTGATATTTCACACTTACAGGTGTATCCTTTACATAAAGCAGCTTGTGAATTTTGCAACCTCCTTCAAAAGTGTCGTGGCATGAATTGCAATCTGTAAAAACCAAACGAAGTAATCAAGTAATAAAGTACCTAGGCTTATTCGAAAAGTCAACGATTAATTAATTTGGCCGGTGTAATACTATACATTTAGACAGTGAGCTTCGCTGCATAAAAACCTGTAAGTCTAACTCGTGTGTTTTTTTGTTTTTTTTGGAGTATTGTTACTATTATGATCTCTTCACATGATTTAGTAGATTGCGATGGTACAGTGCGCAAACGGATAACTGAAGCCATCGGGTCTTAACTTCTTAGCAGTGTTGTAATGTTTGACTTGAAAAATGCATTTCTCTCTTCGGCAACGGGCAAACGTTTCATTCTAAAAATTTTAGTGAGTTTTCTGAAACCTTTCCTGAGTAAATGAATAAAGTCAAGTGAAATATAGCAACACTGAAACTTTTTGTATTTAGTTTGTTACTTACGGTAGTTTTTAATATTATTATGAGCTGATGTAGGACGCCAAAAATTTATATACAAGGTGGCCCGGGCCTACCGAACTAGAGGTTATGGGACTTTTGGTCCAATTTTTTTTGTCCACAAATTTTTTCGTCCAATTTATTTTGTCCACGACTTTTTGTCCTTGAAATTAGGTCCAAGTTAAATTCGTCCTGGTAAATAGTTAGTCCTACGCATTTGTTCGTCCAGTGGTATTAGGTCACATTTCTGTGGTCCAGTAAGGTAAAAAAGTTATGTCCAAAACTCACGTCCAATGAGGCCGTTTCAGCTACTTCCTTTCAGCTTTCAGCTACTTTCAGTCATCGTCTGAGTCTTCTTCGTCCGAGTCCGGTGGATCTGCGCGTGGCGTGTGAATCAATTGGCGTTAAGATCAATTTATTTCGTAGCTATGGAGACCCTTAAATTTAATCCCAACATCGAAAGAGAAAACATCGAAGAGGTTATTTTCTTCGAGGACCAAATCGTCGGCACGCATCATGCTAACATTTGGAAGCTCATTGACGCTTTTAAAAAGGTTCAACAGGACACAGAGCGTACGTTAACACAGGCTCGGGGGGGTCATCGCCGCTTTAAACCACCGGTGAGCAAGAAGTACACTACCAATCAGGGAATGATTGCCAATATCGTCCGAAATTACCAACATTACAAGGACACGAACTCACTTAAGAAGTACCTCCGAGCATGTGCGTACCACCTCAAGTTGCACACGCCACGCGCAGATCCACCGGACTCGGACGAAGAAGACTCAGACGATGACTGAAAGTAGCTGAAAGCTGAAAGGAAATAGCTGAAACGGCCTCATTGGATTAGAGATAGATAGTTGAGTTATTTTAGGTCGAACGAAGTCGCGGCACCGCGCAACACGCGGGTTTCCAGCTAGTTGAGTTGTTGTATTAAGAGCTATCTCATCCATTTACGTGCAAAAAAAAATTATACATAGTAATTAAAACAATCGAATGTTATAGCCTTTGTTCAGAAAAAAAAATAATTAATTGAATCGGTATAGTTTCCAAAGGGAAAAATTCCGTTTTATCAAATCAAGCTATCTTTTCTCTATTTTCACTGAGGTTTCATTTGTTATTAAAATAAATAAAATGCCTATAGTAAATATTTTAGTCAAAGAAAAGCGCAGATCTGGTATTTACTCCGTTGCTGTTGACTCATTTTGTACTTCTAGACGAGTTTCTATTTCGAATTCAAAACATTCCAATTCCTGTTTTTCAGTGGTTGCTCACCCGTACCTTTCAATCACCATTAATTCTCATCCATTTCAGCTGGTTCCTATACGGTTGGTTAAATAATTAACTGCCGTAGGGTAGAGAATACAGTACATAGAATGCGTGAGTTGCATTCCGGCTTTTAAGTCACATAAAAAATAATAACGGAAAGTCGCCATGGTAATTAAAGGCTTGCAAGTGGACCTCTGGACAACGTGAGAATTTAAGCATCGTAACATATTTTTTCGCAGATAAATTTCACGTATAGAACGCGATTCTTGCAACGGGAATGGTTGAATTTAACTTCCAAACAAGATAATAACATTTTTTGCTGCATTGATTTAAACTTCCTGCTCATGAACAAAATTACCCACTTGAGTTAAATCACATACTAAACTTTACCGTAACAGTCTCTACACTGGAAAAAAAACACATTGGAGCTAGAGTCCAGACTCTGAAAAACATCGACAAGAAAAAATCCTCTTGATTCAATCAGATTTGAGCTTAAATCAAGAACCAAGCCTCTTAATTTGAGCGGATTTCCTTTTGATTTAAGCTTAAATCTGATTGAATCAAGAGTCCTTTTTCTTGTCAATGTTTTCAAGAGTCTGGACTCTAGATCCAATGTGTTTTTTTTTTTCCAGTGTACGGTATGAAAATATGACAACCTATATCTTGGCGCTTCGGCGCAGCTGTAGCTTGTTGCGTGGATTTTGATCAACGCATGGCGGGAAAGGAAAATTGCTCGATTAAGAAGCCTGCAAAAATCGATCTAGGAAATTCCGCCGGATCGTTGCCGGCGATGGCATTCACGTGAACCTGGATTTCTATCAAGAGCGGAAATTATAATTTTTCGTAATTGGACGTATTTATGCTAAAAGGAACTATGTGCATAGGGATTGCGCGTGACATAGTTCCCTTTGGCATAAGAACGTCCAATTGTGACTTGTGGGAACGTTAAAATCTTGGTTAGACATCAATTGCACACTAAAAAAAAATTCTCGGCGTTTTTACCACGGTCCGTTGGTACCTTTACCATCTCACTTTTTTTACCAATTATTGGTAATTTTACCAAGACAGACTGGTAAGCTTGCTTAAAACCCGGTATTTTTACTGTTTTTTTCAGGTAAGAATACCACTTTTATTGGTAATCAATCCCCGGTAACTTTGCCATTTTATCTCGGTAATTCTACCACAGTCGATAAAAAATATTGGCGTTTTTACCGGGGTCCAGTAAAATTACCGAGAAAGTCAATAATTTTACCGAGCTTTCTCGGTAAAATTACCAATTCCATAAATGGTAATTTTACTAAGAAAAAACTGGGATAAAATAGAACCCTGAATTCTTAGTAATTTTACCCTTTTCTTAGTAAATTCACCGATATTTTTTTTTCCAGTGCAGTAATTGCGAGAATCGTGTTCTACGCGTAATTTTATGGAGGAACCCTATGGCTATATATCTGAACTAGTCGTGATTAGCTCGCTTTGCGAGCTGACACGTCTAGCCGGGGAGTGCCCCTGGACCCCAGTTCTACGCTTCGCGACGAACTTGCGACTCGCTCCGCGAGTCGCCACCGCCCCGCACGGTTTTTAACATTAATGAGGAGACAACATCTATGTCTTAATCTTCTTTTTCACCAATTTTTACAGAAATTGATGTTCTAGGAGTCCGGACCGCGTTTTCGTGCAGGGCCGCCATCTTGGATTTGGAAATGTTGAAAATCTGACCAAAAATGCGAGTTTTCCGTCAAAATACACCTCCTATTACCGAATTTCACAAAAATCGATGGATCGGAAGCCGAGATAACAACTTAGACCACGATCGCCATTTTTGATTTTTGAATTTTGAAAATCGGACCTAAAATTCTAATTTCCCGTCGAAATACACCTCCTAATACCGAGTTTCACAAAAATCGATCGATATCAGGAAGCGATGTAGCATTTTAGACCACGGCCGCCATCTTAAATTTTTGAATTTTGAAAGTCTGACCAAACATTCTAGTTTCCCGTCGAAATATACCCCCGGATACCGAATTTCACGAAAATCGATCGAACAGGAGCCGACTTAGCATTTTAGGCCACGGACGCCATCTTGAATTTTGAGATTTTGAAAATCCGACCAAAAATTCGAGATCCCCGTCGAAAAGTACCCCTGGGTACCGAGTTTCACGAAAATCGATCGAACAGGAGCCGACTTAGCATTTTAGGCACGGCCGCCATCTTGGATTTTGAAATTTTGAAAATCTGACCAAAAATTCGAGTTTCCCGTCGAAACATACCCCCGGATACCGAGTTTCACGAAAATCGATCAAACAGGAGCCGACTTAGCATTTTAGGCCACGGCCGCCATCTTGGATTTTGAAATTTTGAAAATCTGACCAAAAATTCGAGTTTCCCGTTGAAAAGTACCCCCGGATACCAAGTTTCACGAAAATCGATCGAACAGGAGCCGACTTAGCATTTTAGGCCACGGCCGCCATCTTGGATTTTGAGATTTTGAAAATTCGACCAAAAATTCGAGATTCCCGTTGAAAAATACCCCCGCTCACCAATTTCCACAAAAATCCGTCGAAAAATACCGCCTAAAACCTTATATTTCGTCTATAAGGCAGTGACGTCACGCAACAGGATTGAACCTGTTCGGCGCGATGCGCGTAAACAACCGCGTATCTCCAATGTAATACTATATGGAGAAACAACTTTTCGCTCTTGCGGGCGTCCTAAGCAGCATATTTGAATGGGAATAATTTTAATCAACTCCTCATTACAATAGCTAAGCGTGTACCAATTTTAAAGGGAATCGCTTCGGCCAATTTTTATCTAGGGGGGGCATAGTGAGTGGGAACAGCAGCTTTATATAGAGTAATAATAATAATTAAATTCGAATCTTTTCTAGTGGCGTATTCTGAAAGCACACAGAGAAAAATGAACTTACAGATCAAAGTGTCCTCATCAGGAACAGAGGGTTCTTTGTAATTTTTATGCGGAAGGGCACGTCTTGGGTATCTTCCACCACTACTTTCACCTGAAATTTGAAATCAGTATTTTTATTCAAAATTCGCTAAGTTTGGATACAAAAATGTGTAGGCAATTCATAATATTATTCAGTCAAATGGAGGCTGGATACTTCCGTGACATAAATTCAATGAACGTTAGTGACGAATTTGAATGTGAATGTGAATTTGTGTGTGACGAATTTTAGTGTGCATACATATTGAATAATCCGTGGGATATGTGAAGTAATTCATAAATCACTTGCTCTCAGGTTTTACTCATCTCTTACTCTTCTCTAATTATAACTTCGCGGACCTCCGTCATGAGATCTCTCACAGTGGCCAAAAATTAAATTCCGTCTCTGAATATTCTTTTTTTATTTTTTAAATTTTTCTTTATTCGAGGCACAACCGCCTCTTTGCTAGGCATCGTGACTTATTGTTGGACAAGATTCTCTCCCCCCTCTTCTGAATGTGCAATCTCCTCTAAATCTCACTTCATTTGAATTTTTTAAACGTCTTGGTAACTAAGTATCGTTGGAAAAACTCCTCGACTTTGGAACAAGCCTTAGAAATCTAAAATTGGTCCATTAGGAGGTTTCAATGATTTTTGCATAATTTGCTCCACTGCTAAGTTGGAAAATTGCACAGATCCGTCAAGTGACGTCTTTAAGGCCCTAAAGATCATCTTAGTTACACATTAATCAACCCATCTGACAAGTGAGAAAAGGTTTTGTGACGTCATCCAGACACCGATGATATAATTTCAAAGAGTTCGAACTTGTGCGTGTAAAAATCGTCAGTAAAGGTTATGAACCAAGTGTCTGATTGTAAACGAATTAAAGCTTAGAGTTATATTACACCACAGCACGAAGAAAACTTCGAACAAATACAGGTGACAAAATAAACTCAAAAACACAAACTTTCGCGATACTGCGAACATGGAGCCGCATTCTATTCACTGAAAAAACGAGATTAGGGCTGGGCCCTAGAATTGCTTCACCTCCACCGCCACAGGGGCAGGCCCTGCGGGGGTAAGGCCCAGCCCTACCTGGACAGGGTGCAGCTCTTACCAGGTAGGGCTGAACCCTGAAGTAGGTAGATTTGGGCTCTACGCGCGCCGGGCCTGCCCCTATGGCGGTGGAGGTGAAGCAATTTTACCTACCCGGTTAGGGCTGGGACCTTCGGTGCAGGTACCAGCCCTAAACTCGTTTTTTCCGTGTTGGTCAATGCTTACTGCCATTGAGTTGAGCAATAAGTGAAGAGAGCACATCCTCATACAAACGCTCTTAAAATAACACTTTGAAAGTTGTTGACCTCTTTTGCAACTGCTAGGTGGCACAGGTGCTTTTTTCCTCAATTGTATGTTCTTCTAACCTGGTGATGCTGAGCTATACGCACATACTATAGGTGCGTAGAGAAGTTATTTATCAGCAGTCTCCGCTCCTCGGGATTGTTCAATCGATGAATTTATTTTACTTGTATCATGAATAGATTTAAATATTATGAAAAATACGTTAGGACATTCAAACGCGCAGAAAAAAAATATCTGCTCTGACTTTGCCTCTTGACACAGTTGATTCAGGGGTTGTAACTTGGGATTTTGTTTCTACAGGTGGTTCCCTCACCGTAAAAGTCGATTTAATCGGCTGGAGACCCGACAGAAAAAATGTTGAAATCATGCAGCTCCACTTCATACTTTATTTCCATCGAATTTCAGACAAGGCAGAGACTTCTTTCCATGCCATAAAATGCCTCTCATAATGCCTCTTTGAAATGTTTTATAATTTCCTACTTTTCCTCAAAAAAAAAAAAAAAATATATACCATCTCATAAAGACATAAGTCCTTGAAAATGAACCTTCCTGCAACTGTTGTGTGGTGCAGGCGGTGTACTTTGTCAAAGTTTTGTAATTTTTTTAACGTGATTGTAAGCCCTACGCGGGCACTAAACTAAGAGTTACTTCGTAGTTTTCGTTCCTTGGGATTTTTTAATCGATCTTTTAATTGATTAATTGAAATAAGCATAGTATGAACGTATAAATGATCTTACGAGCATCATTCGCAGATTTAAGCTGTGTGAAAAATACGTAAATTTAAAAGCAAAGAAAATACAAATTTACTCTAACGTTACCTGTCAACACACTACTTGATTCGGTCATTGCTTGGGGGTTTGTTCCAATCCGGAAATGGTAGGCTCCAGACCTACGAAAAAAATATTAAAATCATTGAATCTGGCTGGTGAATGCATGAAGAATACCTTCAAGAAACTGTTATTAAAGACACACTGGAAAACGGTAGAGTACCTTCATAGACAGAGTATGGCCATTCGTATCTTTTTACTGCAGGAAAACTGTTCCGCTTTTAGATTGGTCAGCGAGTTTTTAGGCTTCATGATGCTCTAAGGGCCGTAAATAAACAAACAAGATGGCGGCTTACCGTAACATCGATGAGAAGCTAAATTTGACAAAAATTTCGATTATGCGGCAGTAACAATTTAAACGAGCATATCTACGAATAGCACACGAAAAACACATGAAAACATTGTTAAATTGCCTTTCACCTTTATCACAGGAGGATGTATAAGATGTGCATAACCTCAATCTTTTTTTTTTTTTTTATTGAGAGTTTAGTGGCTTCTATTCCTTTAGGAATCTACAGCCATCTATAGGCACTATTTATTGTCCGACGACATCAGGGAGTTTGGTAGACATCCATGCTCGGGCTTACAAATTTTCACGGATTAAGGCCGAGCGAATTCTGCTTACAGATCCACTCGTCAGTTCCATGAAAATTTGTCGCCACCACCGGGATTCGAACCCGGGACCTATTGACCTAGAGTCAGACGCGCTAACCACTAGGCCAACCTGGCCGGCAACCTCAATCTTGCTTGCTGATAACGGCCATATTGTTTGTTTATTTATGGCCCTAAGAGCATCGTGTCAGCCTATTCGCTCGCGACCAATGAAAAACCGGAACAGAAATGGCCATACTCTGTCTATAAAGGTACTCTAGAAAACGGATACACACAGGGTCACACTTGGGGTCTTGTTTAGATGTTGAGATATGTACTTTCTTTACCACCCATTATTATGATCGATTACACTCGTTTAAACTCGATTACGTCAATAGCGCGTTTTCGTTTCCACCTTATTATCATTGCATCATCATCAGCACGTAAACACCGGGGAATACGTTTTATTTTTATTTAAGTTTTAATGTATTGTTCATTCAAAACTTAGAAAATCTTACGGAAACACGTCTCTCCAACTGTATGCACGCTGTGTATATTATCGAGGGCAGTTATCAAACCTTGTTAAACTCTTACTAGGAGACTTTTTTTAATTGTAGCCAAAAAAACCCTACCGACGGAATTCCCTAAGATTTTTGCGGATGTCTCTTAAAAGTCGACTTTTGAAAAAGTTTCTTTTTTACTATGAGCGCATCATCTAACTATAACCAAACCAGGGTTAAAATGTGCCCTAGCTAAAGCCTCCTTAACAACGTATCAAAAGCTTGTTTTAGTTAGACGATGCGCTCGGTGTCCAAAGAGTCTCAGGGTGATAGAAAAACACGCATTTTCGCTAAAATGCGCCTGCAGACGTATGTTCAGACAACCGTTTAACACGTATCCGGTGGCTTATGGACCAAATCATGATTATTTCCGTAAATTAAACTGAGTCAACTTGGAAAACCCGCATAAATTTCCGGATTCTAGGGAGGGCCAAAAAAGGTCCTCTAGGGGGGCCAAAAAAGGTCCTCTAGGGGGGCCAAAAAAAGGCACTTATCGATACCCCTCACCCCTCCTTATGGAAAATTACCAAGAAACAGGATTTTCTATCCTGGAAGATGTGAGATCCCTTAAAACCCGCAAAAATCCACTCATAACTTGATATTTCGTTATTTACGAGTGTTTATAAGAACTAGGGGCTTATGAAGCTGCTTTGCAGCCCCTTATTTTTCATGTACACCTTTCCCTTTCACACGTCTTTTTACTCAGAAATTGTGTAGAAATTCGTGTGCTTTGGAAATCATTAAGTTTGATACGGAACTACCTTAATATTTACCAAACACACATTATTCTTTCCTTTAAAACATATGTTTTTCATCAATTAAAATAAGAATAATCCATACAGAGAGTGCAAACATTTCAAAATAATGAGTTGAAAAACGCTGACTCCGCGAGATTAAATATTAGAGCCTAACACAAAGCGGAGCGGCGACGCACTGGCGCCTACAAACCTAACAGGGATACTTCACGCATTCCGCAATGCGTGAAGTATCCCTGTTAGGTTTGTAGGCGCCAATGCGCGTTTCGCGCTCTCTGCCCGCTCGCCGTGCCGCAGCGTGCCACGGCGTCTGAAGCAACTATTTCTCATCAGAGAGGCATTGCACAGTATCATAAGAAATTGAAGGCGCTCCAACATATTAAGAATGACAGGCATCCTTCAAAAGTACGAAGCTTTCCTCGCAAAATAAATCAAGATACTGCGGCACAAAAAGAGAGCGGTAGTCCAAAAACTAACTAAGTCCTAGTATCCGTATTTATTAACGTTTAGCATAAACTTTATCGTCAAGCTGTTGCTTAGTCACCATCGGCTATAACAGGCTATGAGAAATTGTACAGCCGGCTACAGAAGCTATTGGAAACCTTACAGCCGGCTTTAGGTCTATGGTATTTTGGAACACACATTCTACTGCCAACTTTTACCAGGGCAATTAGGAACTACAATTTCTGACTCAGTATAAGAACAATATATTTACCATTAGTTTGCCTCTGCACATGAATAAATAACTAAAACTAACCAAAAATAACTACTATAACTAAATAAAACTAAAAATAACTAATAGCGTGAAACAATAAACATATTAATACACATTGAAAAGGAAATATCTGACCGTATGAAACGTTCTGATTGGGATGAGAGAGAAAAATTGGAGGTTATTGACTTGATGAGGGAAAATTGGAAATAGGAAAAAGATGGAGCCGATCACGATTTGGGGGTAAAATTGGAAAAGAAAAAACGCGGGAAGATAATATGACAAAGCGTAAAAAAAAACGCGGGAAAAGAAAAATGTAAGTTGACGGCAGTTGAGTGTTGGAGGTAACCTCATTTAATGATGATTGTTGAATGAAAACAGCTGATAAAAAGACAGCAAATAGTAAAGTAAGATGCGTAGCAACAAAACTTTTCCGTAAAACAAAAAAGAAAAAACCCCTACTTCCCCTCATCCAATTTATGAGTTTCTAGGGATTTAAAAATCGGGGTCAGACCCCAGAAAATAATTTATAATTTTCCCGAAGCATTGAGTACAACACCTTTCAAATGAACCAACGCCCCTCGCAATTAGTACAGAGGTTAATTCACAATTTCATTCTATTTTTCAATTTATATATTAAGATTAAGCACTAACAGTAATAGGAAACAGGCAGTTTTCATCAGTATTTGTTCATATCCGTCGAAAAAATTCAGAAAAAACCAGAACCATGAGATGGCGCGGCGTGGAGAGGCCTGCTATTCAAAATCAAAATCGCCTTCAAATTTGGCGACGCAACCCAACCTCACACCGAAGATAATTGAGTTTCATCTATCAATTGGCTGCATTGTAAATATATTTGTGCGCATCCTATGGTGGACATGCGCAATATGCGGGGGGACATTCAAGGAGACTTAAATGCGCAGCTAGAAACATACAGGTAACTTTCAAGTTCTCATTTCCTTAGGCTTATTGTAGTCAAATTGACTTATCGATTTGCATTTTGCTTGTATAGACGTGGACAATGCGAAACAGAAACTTTCGAGGAGACTTTAGAGTAAAGCTAGAAACATTCAGAGCACTTTCAAACAGGCCCGCCACATCCCATATCGGGCTCTGGTACCAGTTTTAAGGTCCGGGCCCCAGGCACGGAGGGGGGGGGGGGGGGGTGTCCGAAGGGCATCCCCCGAGAAATTTTAGAATTTATATGACTAATTGGACGCAGTTTGAAGCTTCCATAGAGAATTTTTCCGTCAATTTCTGCAGAATAATTACGTTTTTTATTTCTACTTTAAGCACAAAATACTTGCGAATTGTTGCATTCAAAACATCTGGAAAATTTTCATTTTTTTTTTTGGGGGGGGGCATATGATACTATTTTCAGTTCTAAGAGGGCCAGGCCCCCCTGGACTCCCCCTTCGTTTGTCTATGGCAAGGGAGTTGAGCCATGAGCCATTGAAGTCGAGGATGGCCAGACTGGAGACTCTCAGCATCTGACGACGGAAGAAAATGAAACGCAGTTACCAAAAATATCCCTCTGTACTGAAAATCTTGAAAATAGATAGAAATTTTCCAAGAAGTATACTTCTTTGAAAATTTAAGAGAATTCTACAGTGCCCCAGCGTGTTTCTGAAAATCTATTCACCTGTTGCGAAATTTTTGGGGTAAATTTTTCACTTTTTCTTACGAAACAAGGGTTGCATGTGAATTCGTAGTGGTTTAACACGGGTAAGACGGGCCCCGGTAGCAGGGACCCAGTATCACCCCCTTGTGGCTGCCCTGCCTTCATGCACGCTGGGCTTGTCGATTTCCTCTGAAATTTTGGCAGTGGTGAATGCATAGCTGAAGTGCGCTTCAGCAAGCATTGTATTTAGAACGGGTGGTTTTTCTGCGAGGATTAAAAATAAACGAGTGGTACCAAATATAACAAAAGAATATGAACTATGCAAAACGAAAATCCGGGTATCGGAACTTGGCTGTTTTGAAAACGCCTTCAAATGCGGCGTGATACCTCACGCATTCCGGAGAGTTCAAATAGTTGTATCATTGCGCCGTATGAATGTGACGGAAGATTTAAGTGGAAGTAGCCTTCATGCAGGCTCGCCACAACCCATCTCGGGCCCTGGTACCAGTTACAGTAACAAAAGAATATGAACTATACAAAACGATAATCCGGGTATCGGAACTTGGCTGTTTTGAAAACGCCTTCAAATGCGGCGTGATACCTCACGCATTCCGGATAGTTCAAATAGTTGTATCATTGCGCCGTAAGAATGTGACGGAAGATTTAAATGGAAATAGCCTCCTTGCACGCTGGGCTTGTAGATTTCCTTTGACATTTTTGCGCTGGTGAGTGCATAGCTGAAGTGCGCTCCAGCTAGAATTGAATTTAGCAAATGGGTGGTTTTTCATCGAGAATTAAAAATAAACAAGTGGCACGGAATATG